AAAAAAATTGGATTAAAAAATTACACAAAAAAATGAGGAATTTCAAATAGTTAATTTGATACTAATATCGATATATTTTTGTCAAATTTTTATGATATCGTYAAACATATATTTTATTCAAAAATAAATACATCATCGCTTTCTCAAAATCACATAAAGCCATATTATAACATCGACTGAGATAAAAAAATAAAATAAAATATTAAAAACACGATGTATCTCGCTGCATTGCGCGAGTACGCTTCTAGTATATATATATATATACACATATACATACATTATATTACAACTTGTTTCCTATCAAAAAGGTTTAAGCTACTTCGTAACTATACTGATATTAAAATGATATCTTGCCGGTATCGGTATAAGTTTATAACACTGAAAGTCGAATTTACATCTGGCTTCATTTGTTTTGTATCTTTATGCTTGTGGGTCTTTTTCTATTATCTTCCATGAGTATAGTACCATATATAACCAAATAATATTAACTAATACTAATAAAATTATGAAAACAAATGCACCAAGGCTAATGATCACGTGACCAAAGCAAACAAACAACAAGTTAATATTAATATGTGCCAATGTGATTTATTTAGTATTTAAAAAAAACAGAAGAGTTGATGTATATTAAATGCTTGATTTGAGTTAGATGAGCCAGCAGGATCATGTGGTCACGCTGTCACATAAAGATGCTAGTAAAATGGTAAAAACATGCAACAGCATAAGAACATGGGGGAGATTTCTAAAGTAACAACACATTCATTTATTGTCTTATCTTATATATTACAAATATAAGATTAATTATATAAATCAGCTAAAATTAATAGGGGTTTTAGTTAGTTTTGGAAGTTAACATTTATTATTTTCTTACATTATGTAGATTTGTTACTTTAGTTTATTATAACTTTTAGAAAAAAGTAAGAACATATTCAACAAGTATGCTACATTTTTTTTCATTTTTCAAATTTGAAGATTTCTCTAATTTTTTTAGAGGAGAGTTAACATAATTCTTGGAGTAAACTTTTACAAAATTTCTAAAATAACATAGCTCTTGAGGGGGTGTTTGGGATTGCTTATTTGAAACAACTTATGTTTTTCTATAAAAACATTTATCAACTTATTATAAGTCAGAAGGATTTAACTTCTTCAAAAACTCCTTATTACTGGTTTGGCACCGGTATAAGTTGTTTATCCAAACACTCAAAAGTGCTTATTACTGATGTCACACATGAATAAGTCAATAAGTTGTTTTTGTAAGCAATCTCAAACACCCCTGAGAATGATCTGATGATGTTTTGAGATTGAAAGTCTCATAATTTTCTTTGGAGAAAATATAGAAAACAAGAATTTAATTTAAACCCATAACCTTTGATTTGATGTCCAAATATCAAAAACATTTCAAAAGTTCATGTCAATTTTCAACTTTTTCTATAAAAATGAAACTGAAGTATCAATTAAAATGTGTTCCGATGTATAAATTTGAACAATTGCCAAGGAACTTTATGCGTATACACCGCAAGGAACTAACCTTTTTATAAATTCTCGAGCTAACATGGTCACCCCTTAAATGATTTTATACGATTTGTAACATTTAAAATCCCGTTTTATTTGATTATTAAAATTGGCACTTTAGAAATGTTAAGATCGTTTATTTACAAGCTTTTAAGGGATGATGTAGACAACAACCGAACATCAAACAAGATCATGACATTGTTTTGTTGGTGTTCAGAGATCATGTGATTCCATTCTCAAATATTCTTTTTATTATATACCTAAGTATATTAAAATGATTGATTCTTGGTTGAAGCACATGAAACTGTGTAGATAAGTGAGAGAAACGAAGAGAATAGACTCACATGTCAACCATGGAAGCAACCCTTTCTGGATCCTCGTCAACAGCACTGTCATTCTTTTCAATAGCAATGTCTTCATTTCTCCTGTGTAATTCGAGTTTGAGATTAGTATTGAATTGGAGATCCAATCTATCAGACATTTCGAACCTAAAGAAGATGGCTTCTAAGCATCTCGTAAGAGTAATTCAAACAACTTCTAGGATTTAATCACTGAAACCTCTACTCTCTGTAAATTATTCCAATAAGAAACCTAAAGAAAAAGAGAATTTCATATCCGAATTTTCCGCAAAATAAAGACATTTCTACAGTAACGAAAAAACAGATCACAAGATCTCATCTTCTCTGTTAATTTGCCATATCTAACCCTCCGTATAACAATAGAAGCAGTTAATGATCGAGAAAGCAGGTGGATCTGAACCTTTGAATCAACCAAAATAGATATTTTGTCATCGAATCTGACCGATTTCAATCAATGCAATAATTATGAATCTAATTTTATCCATCAATTCGAAAGATCTCCAGTAACAAAATATAATGCTTGTACTAAATTCATCACTACTAACCTGTCCGCCATTGTTGAGTTGTCTATTAAGCTCTGCAACACATTTTTCTCTTCTACGCTGAAAATACAAATACTTCAATCCATCAAATTCTTCATTTCCAGAATTAACAAAGATGCATCACGATAAACACCTAACTTATTTCACGTCAAATAATTCGTAAAACACATCAATTTTGCAAATAAACTGATTCCAGACAAATTCACACAGTGAAAAGCTATGTTTCAAAGTGAAATGCTTCTATATTAGATCGACTTACCTTGAAACGGCATTGACGGAAACGAAAACCATAAAACCCAGCAATAAACAGAGCGCGAAAAGTCTCAGAGAGACCGCCATTGTTACTTCGATTTGCACAATCTCTTGTGCAATTTCAGAGAGAGAGAGAGAGAGAGAGATGGAGGATCAACTGAACAAAGAACAGGGCTCAATGAGGGAGTCCTTTAAATAGGGAGATGGTCAAAAGTACAACTCCAATAGGAATCCACCATTAACGCCTCCTTCTGATATAAGGCTGACCAAGGGGTTAGGTTACTTCTTCTAACCATGGTTAGATTATCTCTCACTCACTTTGTGGTGATGTATTTAATCACGTTTATATTTAACAAAATGTATAATACGTCATTAATTTTTTTTAATATATATATGCATTCAAAAATTTATTAATCACATTATTTATAATTATATTATACTACTTTTATTTAATTTAAATTAATTAATAAAAAATATTAATTATGAGTAAAAAAAATCTACATCTTATGATCTCGTCTTCACTTAAATTGATTATTATTTATATTATTTAATTTAAATTTTTTAATTAAAGGAAAATCAGTATAATTAATATAAATGTGAAAATGTACACAAAAAGAGAAATACAAATGGGATTTATGATACGAAAATACTGGTATAAATCTAACCAAACAAGTCAGTATAACTCATCTGAAATTGGGTTTTGAAGAGAGTGGAATGTATGCAAACTTGACCTATATAAGTGCAGGATCACTAACCCTACTCCCTCTACCTCTCAGGTTTTCTCATTCTCGCTGGTTACAGATCTCCACTCCTAACCTATCAGATGTCATATCCTAAGAAAATGTCTACAGCTGCCATGTCCAACCTTAGTTGCACAACCATGTCTTCCATGGCCTACCTATCATCCCTACCCCTTCGAAAATCAGTTTTTTTATCATCACCAGAGTGGTTATCTGTCTCCTATGAACCTGACCAAACCACTGATTAATTTTTCCCTTCTTAACTTATCTGTGATGTGCGCAAATCCCAACATTGTCCCAAAAGACTTCATCTGGTATCTACTTCAACCTGGTCCAACCACGGGTCCATCTAATTGTCCTCATTTCAAAGCTTTCCAACTTCCTTTCAAATGTCTTCCTTGTTGCCCAACATTCTAGACACATACAACACAGCTAATGTAGTAGCTACCGTGTAGAAATTTTCCTTCAATTTTAGATGGATTTTCTAGTCATGAATGATGCAACACCCCCATGGCAGTCCTCCACTTCAGCCACATCGTCGTTATGTGATGTGTTATGCCATCATTAATTGACCTCGAACTCCTTCTGAATCGTAGAATCTATATACTAGAAACAACCCTTTTGGGGGCATTGTCTGCCCCTCGATCTGGACTTCCATCTCCTCGTTGATATGCTCCCCACTAAATTGCACCATACGTATTCGACCTTAGAGCGGCTAATGTGTAGGCCTTGCTATTCTAAAGCAACACTCCGTTGCTCCACCCCTCTCGTTCACCTCCACTTTGGACTCTGATACAAATAACTTTTTAGTACATACAGTTACTATCGTTTGATGTCAATTATGCTTCATTTCTAAGATTGTATCTCCTCTTTATTAAATTTTACAGATATGAACAATTTTTGCATAAAATTCAAAAGCATCCATTTTTTAAAACATAAGTTTCGACTTTAAATGAAGAAATTAATGTGTCAAAATATAATACAAAACTAGTCTAATTATTTGCATGCCCTTTTCTTATATCTTTTAGTTCAGTTATATCTAATATTATATATTACTAATATGTGTTTTAGAAAATACAAATATATATATATATATATGTGTGTGTGTGTGTGTGTGTGTGTGTGTATAGAGAGAGACAGACAGACAGATAGAGAGAGGGACTTGGGATCACGTGAGACCAACTTGTTTTCGTGAGACCCGTGAGACCATTTTTTTACAACTTGAACATTCACAACAAAACGTTGTGAAGGTAACATTCACAATGTTTTTGTTGTGAAAAAGTTCGGTTTTTTTAGCATCACAGTGTTTTGTTGTGAAGCTTCAAATGTAAAAAAATGGTTTGACGGATCTCACAAAAACATGTTGATCTCATGTTAATACAATCTCTCTCTCTCTCTCTCTCTCTCTCTCACACACACACACACACACACATATATATATATATATATATATTCCTAAAAATGGTTGGGATGAGAGTAAAATTATATAAGTTGTTGAAATAAATGGTACAAGTGAATACTCACTATTAAACCAAATCTAACACATTTATTGGATTGGTTGCATGTTGGATTCAATTTAATTGGTTTGAAAAAATTGGTGGGTATAATTTATAAAATATTTTTTTAAATATGTATTTGGTAATATTATTTAAAATATTATTTTATAAATATAACACAACCTTCAAGATACTCTCATTCAAAAGGTTAATTAATTAATCACACAATAAACATTACTTTAAACCAGAAGGGTGTTGCCAGATTGGTTTAAGCTTGAGCTTCAAAGGTTAAAAGTACTTGAAGGTCTCAGTTTCGAATTCAATGAGAATTAAAAAAAAATCCCCTTGTGCTTACGGAAGTTCAAATGCGCTGACTTCGGACTACCGGTAAAACGAGTGGTTGCCCTAAGATTAGTCGGCTCGCATAGCGAGTTGGATATCCAGATTAATAAAAAAATATTTTAAAAAGTCACCAAAATTATAATATGTAAATATTCAATGTTATAACTAATAAATTATAACAGTATTTTCAACAGCTATACTATTTTAAAGATTTCAAAAAAGTTTGTTTCAACAGTTATACTAAATTCTCCGATGTTCTAAACAGCTAAAACCGTAAAATCATTTTTTTTTTTTAAATTTGAAATACATTATTTTTGGGTTCGGTTTTAAGATGTTTCTGATCGTACAACACATGGCTCAAGCACATGAAGAAAAAAGTTGTGTTTTGCACGGTATACCTTGTTCTATTTATATTTTTATCTGATTGCTCGTAAAAAATTGCAGATATTCATCTACTTACATCTTACTACTCACAAAAAAAAAAAAACACAGACTTTTATTGCTTTCATCTGTTTTTCTTGAAAAACAGGTATATTAAAACAAAAACAAGGCAAACAAACAGAGGAACATGTGAAGGGCAGATCGCCAAACAATCACAAATTGGAAAAAACTGGAAACAAACTGAATCGGAAATAATTTAATAACAATTAAAACAACCCAAAAAAAATGGAACACAAATGTGTGAGTTAAGTAATGGAATTAGTATTTGATTTTTTTTAAACAATATGGTTTAAAGGTTGTAAGCATTTGAGTACACTTTAAGCAAGTTGTTTAATAGGGATTGTTTGGCAGTTGTTGAATGATTTGGTGCAGAATGATTAAGTGGCCAAAATGATTAAGATGCTCTCATGATATAAACAAAGTGAAATATAATTGTTTAGTAGTTGTTTACAATGAAATTAGGGCGCTGAATGGTTAAGGGAGACACAAGATACAAAAATCATTCAACGAGTTTTATTACCATTAAGAAGCAGATTTTTTTTTTGCCAAACAAGATTCATTTTTTAACGATTCGGATGTTGCATTTTAATGAAACTATTAAAAAGTAAATAAACAACCCCTTATTAATTTTAATTCAACATATTAATAATAGAAATATAATCGAATGATGTATTTAAATTTTAGATATATGTGTTGAAAATATTTTAATTTTGATTTTTTGAAGTATCAAATATTCATATGTGAATAAAATTACAACATCATACGTTATTGTTTGATTAAACACTTTCAACTCTTTATGATTTTTATCTAAAAAAAGTGAAAGCGTAAGGGAAAACGTATATAAGAAGAAATTTCAAAATACTCTTTATAAATCTAAAAGATAGTAAATCTAATTATTCATTATAAATATATATTTAACAATAAGTATACAATATGTATATATATATATATATATATAATGTATAATATATTTAATACACGGGGACGGGTGGGTTAGGGATCACATCCCCATTCCTGATTTTTAACTTTTGGGAATCCTCAGTTCCCGTCAGGACGGATACCTGGTGATGTGCAGACGCCTTGGCCACAACTAGGTCATGCCAAAGGTTTCACTTGTCACTAGTATCACATATGTAGAAACGGTCAAAAATCGATCCCAGACCGGGTTCGGTCGGGCTCAAATCGGTCCTAGTCCCAAACACTATTCTCGTAATCGGTCCCGGTCCCGACCAAAAACCCGAGACCTGGTTAAGGTACTTTGTAACCGGTTATGAGGATCGGGCCCGGGCCAAACCCAAATTGGTTTTATGTTTTTTTTAAATAGATTTTTACATAATTTACTTTTTTTTGAAGTTTTCTTAAAGAATACAAAAGTGTTATTCTAATATACTTGAAAATATGTAATTAGATAAATTAAATACACTTAAAAAATACGTTTTTATGCAAGAATACAAGCCGAAATCACGAATTACAACAAGAATTGTGAACATTTGTGTGTTGTTATCTTCCTTCATACACCATATGACTTATGTATAGTGAATAGAGGGTAAATGAGACAAAAAGGGTCGAAATGGGAAAAATGGTCATATGGCCATTTTTCTCATTGGTATCGGCAATAAAACAATAATATTTTTAAAAAATTGGACCAGACCCATAATCGGTCCTGGGACAAGCCTTCCGTTTTGATGAAAAGTGTAACAGGTCTCAAGTCAATCCCGGTCCTCCACCTATCCCGGGCTAGGTCAGATTCATTTGGCCATCTCTACACATATGTTATTGATTTATAAAAAGGTGTCTTTACATTTTCATAAAATGAAAATGTTCTAATGTAAACACACACACACTCTCTCTCTCTCTCTCTCTCTATATATATATATATATATATAGGTTTGTTCGATGAGAATGAGAGTTATGATGAGAATGGTAAGAAATGATTTTCATCCTTAGATCAATCTTAATAGAAGAGTTTCATTAGATCAACACTAATGAGAAACATCAGACCAATTCTCTTCTAAAGCGTAATTCATTGGTTGGTTTAAGATTAAAAGTGATCAAGGGTCCAAATTCC